CTAGAAGACTTGAATAGCTCTTTAGTCCTTATATTGTGATCGGAGGCTTTCATTCACAACCTTAAAACCGAAGATGGAACTCAGAGACTTCCGACTCTCAACTGGACACTCAAACTATAGCATACAAAGTCGGGATTCAATGTTAGCTGATAAACATTTATAAAACACTTTTATGTTGGTTACTTGAATCGTCCTATTGAAGTTAAGGACTGCAATTGATGACTCTTATATTGGTGTATGTTGTGGAGATGGACCTGACAAGCTTATTTTGTAAATAGTTTTCAATGTGCATCCTGTGCACATTATCTCGATACTGAATTAATTCACAAACATTATAGGAAAAAATAGATGGTGACTAGCATCGGGATGTAGGACGCACCTTTTCTCTTATTTGGAACTTGTCAGATGGATGTATTTGCCTCCTAGAATGAATGTTCACTCTGGGACTCGAATCCAATTCTGTTTGCTTATCTGTTTATAATGCTTATGACTCCGTGTTAGAATATTTATCTCGGTGTGTTGTGTTCCATAATAGTAATTAGAAGTTTAAGTTTATTACCTGAAAAGAATCAAATAAAATATTTATTTTATATTTTTTTGTTTAAATGTACAACAAATCCTCATTCTTTTCAGCAATTCCGTTAGTATAATTGATTAATCACTGAGTAGTGAGTGATGTCATATTTTTATAATACTCGTTTTTGATGACAGCCACATTCTGTAGAATGCATCAGTTATCTCATGAATAAATGTATGCTTCGTTAATGTAGATTCACGGTTTTCTATTGACTACCTTTGACCATTTAGATTTATTTGTAATCATTTTAAGTCAAGATGGTTCGGCCACGAGTTACGTATGCCTGAGCACCGATTGCCACGACTCACAATGCTGATTAGTGTTGGTGATATTTGGAAGAAACTTAAACGCGGCCAAACCAAAACGTGACATCAGCCCACAAAGTCACTGACTTCTGTTGTGAAACATGTTGGTAAATGCAGACTACTTGGTCAGGGTCCATGTGATTATCGTGACCAGTGGTTGAAGACTCTGAATGATATGGCTCAGAATCGATTACAATGGTGTAGGTGTATACACTCTCTATCTCCCTTTAAACTATGAGATTAAAATTGCTTTATATGTTTCTTTGAACGAACTAATTCCTTCTTCCTGTATTATATCCTTATATGCAATCTTTCTTTTATATACTACCACCACCAACAATGAATTAACTACTATTATGAATCTGGTGTTCATTTAGTTGTGCTTATGAGGTATGGTAACTTGAACAGATATATATATGTGCCTGGTCTTACGTTGTAGCTGAGTGACTGATATATATATAATCCATCTTGGAACATCTAAATAACATTTTCAGTATGGGGATTTGTGGAGATTGTAGTATTCGAACAGTTAAATTCACGAGTCACCTTAAGCTAGACAATCAGTGAAAATCTAAAAACTATCACCTAGTATCTCCAAATTTTCAAAAGTGATCTAGCTTAGATCAACTCATGAATTCAACTGTTAAATAACATTTCAGCAGACTGATTGACTAACTGACTGGCTAACTAACTTTATATTATCACTTACACAATTCTATTATTAATGTCAACATAGATGAATTTCTATTTCTATTTCGACAGTAGCATAAATTTTCAAAGATCTTTTTTTGTTCTGTGAAACTTATAAGTAACATATGATATTACCATTTAAAGATTATTTTACAGAATTTAGAAAATATTTGTATGACGACAAACAAACAAACAAACAAAAGAAAAAAATAAGGGAAAAAGAAAGAAGAGAAAAAACATTTTGAAAGAAAAAAAATAATAATGATATATTGTCTTTTGTTTTATATCATAATAAACCATGTAACCAACACCAACAACAAAAACAGCAAAAAAAATGACATTTCTGAAATTGAAATCAATAAACTTTCAAATGAAAAATAATATTTTCATTTATTCGATTTCTTCATTATTTTTGTTCATTCAAATTTTCTTTTTCTTTTCTTTTTTTATTGTTTTATCTATCAATAAGATATTTGTCTATTAGGATCTAGTTGCTAAGTCGTTTTGAAGTGAATGATATTGGGTTCAAGTCTTAAAATGAACATCAACTGTGAGATGCAAATATATTCAGTTGATGTGTCCCAAATAAAATGGAACGCACTTCCTGGATTTCATTACTAGTCAGTATTCATCTTTGCTTAGAAAGATTAATTTTTTTCGAGAAAAAAGTATATTGATGGTAAGACAAAATCAAATTGAGTGACTCTCCTGGTCTCCAATATCGTATGAGCATTCCATGTATCTAAATTAATAGTTGATCTGGTTGTTAGAAAAAGCATCAACCTCATGAATTCTGAAGGAATTCGGCTTTCAATATGAGGTGTCATAACTCTTCTAAGTGAAGACCTAACTTCCAGGGCAGAGTTGAAATGGTTTGAATTATTTTTTTCTGGTTAGCGTTTTTTAGAGAGTTGGTTTTTTACGGGATGGGATCGCTAACCCCATGCCCAAATCTCCTCCTTTATCCGGGCTTGGGACCGGCAGTAGCCCCATAGGGGCTCTAGGTGGAGTTATTAAGACAAAAAAGTTAATTTTAACATTTATCATTCTCTCATTTTATACTATACTTATTAATTGTAGAAGCGAATAGTATTCCACGTAACTATTCTGTGATTCTTAATGATTGTTAGTAGTATAATACAATATGACTGCTTACTCGTTTATGAGAATTCTTGAATTAATGAGGTAACATCTCAGTGTTAGAACTTAAATTTAATGTCAAGTAATTATCTACAAGGTTATGAATCCCTGATAGCTTACTTACTTACTTACTTACTTACTGACGCTTTCTACTCCCAATGGAGCAGAGTCCACCAACCATCATTCTTCAACACACTATGTCCTGGACCTTCCTTTCAAGTTCTGTCTAATTGCTGTTCATTCTTCCCATGTCTGTCTCCATTTCTCAGCGTAGTGTGTTCTTTGGGTCTTCTTCTTTTTTCTTTTGGCATTGAGGATTCCATGTGAGGTCTTGCCTTATGACGCAGTTGAATGCTTTCCTCAATTTATGTCCTATCTACTTCCAGAAGCGCTGAAAGTGGTTAGGTATGATATATATATTTATTATTATTAGAGTTTGCATTCATTCGACAAAAAGAACAACATATATAACAGGTTTTACTCAAATATAGCCTGATGACGATCTAATCCGAAACAATATTGCTTGCTTGTAAATATTGTTCTAAAAGCAGATATCAATACAAGTTTTAATGATTCATTATATATGTATAAGATCTTCAGTAACACATTATTACAGACAAAACATACTTCACACAATAAATGAAGATAATGTACTAAATCTTTGGGGTTTCTTTTTTCATTTGTTCATTGATTGAATGGATTGTATCCTTTCCGTATTCAGTTTTTCATTGATTTAACTTTTATGTTTTATTCATGTTACATCATTAATAATATTTAAAACATTTGTTGTATCTAATCAAGTGTCCGACATAGTCAATTGCTGACATTTAAGTAACTCAATAACTTTTGCCAAATCACTTAGGTAACTTGAAAATCTTTTGCTTCTTGTTTTTTTTTCTAAGATTCTGGTCAAATTTTAATGTAAATAAATGATATATCATTTCAGATATTGATCCGAAGTGATCTGTCCAATCACACAGTAATTCATATGACAATCGACTACTATGAAAGCTTTGGTGATCAGTAAATAAATAATAAATTTCAAACGCTAATAAGTTAATTCCTGACAAATTATAACTTTAAAACAATAGATGAGATCATGAGTCCATCATGGAAGCACTAGACGGCCATTTCGTCCTAGTGTGGGACTCCTCAGTTGTGCGCATTCACGATCCCGCCTCAAGAGATTCGAAACCAGGAACAATCAATGTTGCATACGAATGCTTAACCTCTAGACCACTGAACCGACCGGCATTCAAAGGTGTTAATTTCTAATTTCAACTAATCGACGAAATTGAACGACATATCCACCATCGATTCAGAAAAAAATAGTTTATAGGGATTTTCAATCATAAATGTGAGACAGTAAACAACCCATAGATATTTCATGCTTACTTATAACTGCTTAGTATAACGTACCTATGATCAAGGTGATGATCTCGCACACACACACACACACACATACAACATTCATTTATTTTTTATAATTGGTAAAATTCATTTCTAGTATTTGGACAAAATTTAATGGTTCATTAATCCAATTTCAGTCAATTCATTATATTAATTAATCAACATTTATGTGTTGTCAATAGAGAAAATGTTTTACTCTGAACATGTGAATAAAAGCACTATTAAAAATATTGATTTACTAATGGAATAACAAAACAATTTATAATGTAAACTAATTTGACATGAAGGTAAAAAGAGTCAGCTCTCCCTCTTCAAATGCTCTCAAATAGCCAGACATTTACAGTCACTATTACGGAAATCCTACATTATAACATCTTATGGTGAGAGTGTCGTTTACGAAATTCAGAGGACAAAATGCGGATGTATGACGCTTTAACCAGGTTGATGGATATAGAGGATTCATTTCGGGGGTTAGGGTTGGAAAACCATAATTACAAACCAATAGTGCATATGGGCCTCAGGATCCTAAGGAAACAAATGATGTATGAACCTATTGTTGGTGATCAATTACCACAGAACTGCATCTTCCAACATTTCTTCACTGTTTTAAAGATTAGACCTTCAGGTTAAAGGTTATGTGCGCGGATCGAATGATGAAATGAGTGAAACTCATACATATTTGATGCCTTCTTTGTACCAATGTTTATATGCTTAAATACATAAAAATGATTTAAATGAGATATGTAGAATAGAATAAACCTTATTCATGTTATCAGTGATGTTTATCAATGACAACTATTGATTTTCTTTATTATATTTATTTTATTAAAATAATTTTTTCTTTTTTTTTTCTTTTTTTTATAATTTCAATGAAATAGCTTTCATCCAGATTCATATATTGCTAATAAACGAAAATATAAATCTAATTATAATGAAACATATCATAGATTAAATGATTTAATAAATTTACAACATAGTTCTACAGAATACAATTTAAATACAAACACTACTACTACTACCACTACCACTACTACTACTAACAATAATATCAGTAGTATATCATATCCTATAACTATGAATACAATCAATCCTATCAAATCATCAACACCAATTTCAATTTCAATTCAACAAAATAATAAACAATTCAACCAATATGAATTAGATCATTCAATAAGTGATATATGTTCAACAAATTCATCATTATCAGATCATACTACTAATGGTATCAATTATTCCTATACAACTCATTCATTATCATTATCATTAAATAGAGATAAAAGAAAAGATCATAATACTAATACTACCACTACCAATAATAATAATAATAATAATGTATGTTATAAACATCGTACATTACCATTATTACCTAATTCAAATGAATATCAACACCATCACCACCACCATCACAACCATCATCAACAACAACAACAACATCACCAACACCAATATCCATATATTCCATTAACATCATCTCAATTAATTACACCGAATATAACATGGCGTATAAAAAATTCTAAAGAAAATTATTATAATAAAAAATTATTAAAATTAATTGAACAATTACCATATAATAAACATAATTCAATTGGTTTAATATTATTAACAATGGATGTGAAATTATGTAATACTAATCATAATCCATCCGATAATAATAATAATAATAATAATAATAATAATAATAATAATAATAATAATAGTAATTATTCAGATATATTCTCTGGTGGTTTAGAATATCGTTTACGTGAAGCATTACAATTAGTTGAACCAAATAATAAATTACTAAATGAATTTGATTATTGTCATTATACAACAACAAATGAATTAAATAAAATATATTTAAATAAAATAATTGATGTTCGAAGTAGAAAGTAAGTAATAAATAGTGTAATGTATGATATTTCTATTTTTAATTTGTTTCATTTAAAACAAAAATAAGAGGAGTATCATAGTGGTTAGAGATAGTTAATTATTTATTTATTTATTTGAACACATAAATATTGGTACAAGAGTGCGCCAAATATATATGCGCCACATAAAACAATGAGGATTTGAAGAGAAGAAGGAAAAAAGATGAGGAGTGTAATAAAAAGAACAATAAAGAACAGATAACTGTGAGGTAGTGTAACAGTAATAATAATAATCATAATAATAATAATAATAATAATGGGGGAGACGGAAAGGTACAGCCAGAAGGAATCTTTTAATTAAGGAAGAAGCAACCACTTTTTATGAAGAAAGTAAAAGAAGGTTACAACAGGATCGCCACTGGCTTCTATTCTGAGCCATATCTGATAACGTCTCAAATCACTGTGTTGCACCATCTCTAGAACCTTCTAGTCATGGAGTCAAGAAGCACCACCAGAAGCCAGCCTTTTGTAGCTCTCTTTCATACCACGACACCATGTCATATACTGACCACCTCTCCTCTTTTTCCAACCAGTCCCAGAATAGTCAAATAATGCATGACGTGGAATTCTCTGGGACAACATTCGTAGAACATGTCCAAGCCACCGAAGTCGGCATTTCAAGATGGTGACATCGATTGGATTATCGTCTCTTTGCCCGAACACATGATGCCGAACCTCTTCATTACTAACATGGTGTTGCCACTGAATGTCAGCAATCCTTCGGAGACAACGATGATTAAACACAGAAAGTTGTCTAACGTCCTCAACTCAGAGAGGCCAGGTTTCACAAGCATAGAACAAAACTGCTCTCACCGACGAGTTGTAGATCCGACCTTTTACAGCTAGACTAACATCACGAAGGCGCCAAAGGTGTCCCAGATTGGCATAAGCCACTCTGGTTTTCACTATACGTGCATTGATCTCATCACTCACACCCACACCAGCACTTATGCAGCTACCCAGATACACGAACTTCTCGACTACTTCTATCTGCTCACCATCCAGGGTGAGTACATGATTACGATCCTGCCAGTCTTTTAGAAGTACATAGTACTTCGAAGGTGCAAAGCACATACCCATACTTACAGACACTGATTGCCAACCGACTAAGTGTGGATTGCATGCCTTGGGCGTTATCACACTGTAAGACAATATCGTCCGCATACTCAAGGTCAAGAAGTCTTTCTCCAGGCAACAGATCCACACCACTATTACTTACATCCATCAGAGCTGTTTATAGAATATTATCGATGGCAAAGTTGAAAAGGAATGGTGAGATTGGGCGACCCTGTCTAACCCCACTGCTCGAATGGAACAATGGAGAGAGGTGGTTGTATGCCCTCACTCTGTCTAAGGTGTTTGTATATGGGGCCTTTAGGATGTTAATAAAATAGTTAATAAGAAGCTATTGATCTAGGTTTTTATAATATTTGATACTCATCAACATGGTGTACCTGTAATTTAGAATGAAATGATATTGTCTGATGGTATCGATCCCATGTTATCCAGATTCGCAGTCAATGATAATGTCTTTGACTGTGAATTTGATTGACACATAATTGAATTGTGAGGATGGTTCATCGGTGAATTTAAGGAAGCTCTAAGAAGCTCAACAAAAGCTGAAGATATTTCATCTAATCATTTTTTTGGAAGAATATTGCAGAATCTCTACGTGTAGCTTTCCTATTGGATTGGATAATTTTATAATGATGATTTTGTTCTTATTAAAAACTATAAATACCTGACAGTTTTGTATCATAATTGAGATTGTTTAGAATAACATTCCTTTCACTTGTGTTCCGTCTTTTTATTAGCGTCCAGTGCTCAAGTTATACACGGCATAGTAAGGATCTAAAATCTATATATATATAACATGAATTCGTCAGACAGCATCATTTCTCTCAAGATTGCAGGTACACATTAATAACGTGTGCTAAGTAGCACGAAACCTAGGTCTAGGGTTTCCTGTTGACTACCTCCAACCACCATCTTATCTCAACATAGTGCACGTAATGTCGACTCATCTTAACTGGTGGTCACATTGCAACTTGCTCGATAGCATTTGATCTGTACTAAGTAGGACCTGACATACATGATACTGTTCACCTATCAGTGATTAATCAATTGTAAAGATAGAGAATGGCTAGTAGTGGAATTTAGGACACGCGTTTCATTCTATTTGGGATGTCGGCCGGCTCAATGGTCTAGAGGTTAAGTGTTCAAGTGCGAGACCGATAGATCCTGGGTTTGAATCTCTTGAGGCAAGATCATGGATACGCACTGCTGAGGATTCTCACAATAGATAGTCTAGCTTCAATGAACATATGAATTCACTTATTAAATTAATTAACAGTAAATTCATCGATTTCTATCTCTATTTCCTCATCGATTTATTATGTTTTGTTTTCTTAAACATTGTTTTACAACATGAAAATACTTTTTTTCCCGTTTTTTTTTCTCTAAATAATAAAACTACATTGACTTTGTAATGTATTTTCATGTCAACAATAATGTCTTGAATGATTGAAATCATCATAAATTTCCATCATATATATACATTATGTACTTTAGTAATACTTACCCTTCTAAACAGTTTGCATTATTTCTTTGTAATAGATTAGATGTGAAACCCAGCAACAACAACAAAAGTACAATATGAACTGTACAAATGAATTATGTCATTAAAATTGAAGTGTATACACAACTTCTGTTCATAAATATACATATTTTCTTTTCTTTTTCTTTTTTCTCTTTTTTTTAAAAAAAAAGAGAAAAACTTCAGTGACACATTTGAAATAAATAAAACAGACATATATGAAAGTTAGTCAAGAAATTAGTTTCAATAGTTGAAATCATGAATCGATTGAAGCTAGACCATCATGGAAAACCTGGAAGCACTGAACGGCCGTTTTGTCCTAGTATGAGACTCCTCAGAAGTGTGTATCCATGATCCCATACGAGAATGAAACATCCATTCAGTGCTTTTAGGTTTTCCATGGTGGTCTAGCTTTAATTGACTCATGATTTAAACTATTTAAATTTCTAAAATCTTTACAAAACCCCTTGTGATAAGAAATTAGTTGTATAAATTTTCTTTTGTATATCAACCAGAGAAACTTGTTGAATATAGGCAATATTACTAAACGTCGAAAATAATGATCCATCCATATAAGTAGTATATAATGATAGTTAAGAATCGAATGTATTTCAGTAGAAGATCAAGAAGGAAAATATGCGAACGGAAAGCAATTAGTATGAAAATGTTTGAACAATAAAATCTGAGACGATGGACTGAGATTTTCAAACGGAAACAGTCAAGTTTGAGACAATTGATTGATATTTTGTAAATCAAGTACTTACTATGTGGTTCTCAGATTGTATTAAGATGTTCGGTAATTTTGTATTCATTTACATTCTATTTTCCCCACCTGTGTTCATGTTCACTACAATATTTCTTGACTGTGTTCAACTCCACTGATTGTGGTATTCTTTACAACTGTTTACCCTTGTACGACCGAGATTGCAGAGTCTTCTCTCTCTCTCTCTCTCTCTCTCTCTCTCTCTCTCTCGAAGTGCTCTCACGTGACCACGCGTATATAGCCTCATTGCACTCTCACACCAGGAGTGTTGTTTACGAAAAGCGAATGTCCGGCGCTTTAACCGGGTTGGTGGATACGAAGGGTCCACCTAGGGGAATTCGAAAACCCTCATTCCAAACCAATGGTGCACATGGGCTCCAGTATCCTGAAGGAACAAATGGCGTATGAACCAATCGTTGGTCACCGGCTACCATGGGACTGCATCTCCTTACGATGCTCCACTGACTTGTGGATCAGATGTTCAGGTCGAAGGCTCGGGGTGTGGTCTTCTAAGAAAACCACTTGCTTCGGTCTGGGCAGCCGGGCAATATCACATCTCTCACACATATCAAATGAGATTTGTGTAGTGCATATGTATTTGGTGTCTCTTTGTACCAATATCTATGTGTTAAAATAAATAAATAACAATTATTTGTCACTAAAGAGTCTAACGTAAAAATACATAAAGTTTGAGAAGATTTTTTACCGAAAAAACTATTGTTTGGACTAGAATTTATGGGAAGTGATCATTGGAATTAGTAACCCACCATAGTGTTCTCCATAATTACTTACTATCCTCACTTTTATTCATCTTCACCAAAGAGAACCCCTTAGAGATAACATTTTCTCATTTTGACTTTCTAAAGATTGATCTTTTTCCAAGAAGTTAACTTGTTGACGTATAATATCTAGATGATGTAATCCTATTTAGTAAAACGTGAGAAAATACAGAATCTTCAAACTGTCTCTATCAACAATACAAGAATACTTAAGGTGCATTTCCATCTCTCCGCATTATCACTTAGATCAATCACAACGATCGAAATAGTAACGTGAGTTGACCATTCTACTTCTCTTCATCTCATTGACACTGATGGGTTGATGGCTAACAAAACATCGACTAGAAAGACTGAGCGGTATTGTCGAGGCTTGAACGTCGCAATTTCAATCTTTTGTGTGGTTATAGATGATTACAGTCTGTGAGGAGCCCCCATACCAGGAGGAAACACCTGTCTGATGCTTTCGAGTTTTTTAACGGACTCTAATTGATGTCAGCCACTGATGTCAAACTTCATATATGTATATATGATTTCATTTAGAACATGGACATTTGAATCCTATAGAAACCTATTCTAAATACTGTTTCTAACTTTTCTATTTCGTTTCCTAGAAATGTCAGTGAATCCAAAAAATTATCAACCAACTTTGCTAAAGAATCACCTAAAGAAGATGGTCGTGAATCTGGAATAGATCCAGATACATTAGACGAAACATCAACATCAATGATTGGAAATTCTTTAAGCTTAAATGATATGAAATATACTACTAATGATCTTAGTCATACTACTGAAGTACACAAACCAAGTGTAATTACAACATTAAGACGATTATCAAGATATTTAGCTTTACGGATAGCAAATAAACGTCATAGTCTAGCTACAGCAAATCAACATGTTGCAAGAAATGCCATTGAAGAAAAACTTGTAAGTAGTCTGTTATAATATTTTATTTATATTTTCTGTTTTCACGTTAATTAAGTAACCAGGGTAAGAAGTTTGTCATTTTTATAATGAAAGGAAGATAACTATTAAAGAATAATGAACAACATGACATGAATGCATATCTACTCACTTTAATGTATTTCATTTGTCAAATGATGTGATTCTCAATTAGTGTTAATGATAATTGACAGTCGAACACAATATACCTCATAAGTGACTTTTTTTTCTATCACATCGTTCAAAAAACTATTGAATAGTATTTACATATTGATGAATGCCTATCTCTTAAAATAAAAGGATTTCTGAAAACCTAAACGTAAAACTTTAGTGATAGGACGTAACCAATTGTTTACAGTACTTAAATGAGCTATTACTATTAATTTGAATTGACTCTCCCCACTGTCGACCGTACAAGGACATTTGAGAGCATACAATCATATGGTATAACAATTTAGTCAAACAAACGTATGTTAAAACAATTTCAAACAAACTCTTAGTAGTTTAATACATGGAAATAATCGTTGTAATTCAACGGAAAGGGGGCGGTTATGAAGATTTGTAACTTATTTTAATAGTTAACATTTCAAACTAGATTAATCGTTCTTATGCAAGATTGAAGGTTCAAGGTTCGACCCTTAATGGTGGTGTCGTGGATGTACATTAATCAACAGTTGTTGATAAATGAGCTACTATAAGAGATGTTTTGGTGGTCTTCATATCCATTAATTATTTTCAATTTCTGGATAGTAGTTAGTAGGGGGGATTTAGAATGTAAGTTTTTTTCCTAATCAAAACTCTTCAGTGAATTGAATGCTAAAAAAAAGAAAGTCACATATTTCCTTCATAAAGTAAGTGATACCTATCGTATATTAAGAAATACATAGAATAAAGTATATTTCACCTTTATGCGAAACATAATTCTTACATTCCACCCCCATGAACTATCCAACATATCAGTCAGTCAGTCAGCTACAACGTAGGACCAGGCACATATATGCATCAGTTCAAGTTTCCGTACCTCATTAGCACAGCAAGATGAACACCAAATTCATAAAAGTAGTCAATTCAGATGTGGTAATATATAAAAGAAAGATTGCAATAAGGATATAGTACAGGAAGAAAGAATTAGTTCGTAGAAAGAAAAATATGAAGCGACTTTATTTTCTTAGTTTAAAGGAAGACAGAGAGTGTATACACCGACGTCACTGTGATCGATTCTCAGCTATGTCACCAAGAGTCTCCAACCACTGGTTAAGATAGTCACGTGGACCCCAACCAAGTAGTCTGCATCTCCCAACATGGCTCAGACTAGAAGTTAGTGAGTTCAAGCACTGATGCCACGTTTTTGTTTGGCCGCCCCTAACTTCCTTCCAACCATCTCCAACACTGATTAGTATTGTGTGTTGTGGAAATCGGTGTTCAGGCATACGTAACACGTGTCCCAACATATATATCCAACATATAATCAAATCCTGCTATATTTTGTAAACAGTCGTACGTTTATCGTTGTGAATGTCTATGAAAGTGGGATTATTGAATGGATTTCTCAATATTACATATACCTTCAAGTGTAGATCTTATATACTAACTAGTAGTAAAATTCTAAACAAGTATTTCATCCTTCTATTTTTTTGAGACAAACATATTAAGCACTGACTAAATGGAACTCATGATATTAATAAGGAAAGAATAGTGAATCAAAACCATACCAATAATAATAAGTATTCTATTCATTAGACAAGTTGATAACTACTGTAATTCAGTAGTCTAATGTATAATGTATTACTATGTATAAAGTCATTATTACTGCTATCCAGTTTCAATGTAAACATTCATATATTATTATGATATTCTGGAAGTACCTGAACTTTGTCGAACATATTTCACAATCAATCACTAATGATGGTATAAATATTACTATATTAGACATTTTTCGGAAATCCGTTTAGCCATTTCGAAAGTGAAGTGTTGAATTACTGGTGATATCAAATCATGATTGAACTAAACCTTAAATCGATTAATGTTGAAAACACTTAGTTAATAAAATGTATCATTATTTAGGCAAAACATGAGAGTTTGAGGTTTGATTCAGTATGGAATATCATGTGTTTGTAATACCTGTGAGTTTCAAACAAAATTAAAAGACAACTGTTCCCATGCAAGGAACAACTATCAGTGTAAGTTTGTGGACTTACGTCATCTATGGCAAAGGCAAGATATCCGTCTATGAATTAAAGGACGAATATACTGCGCAGTAGTTCGTTCCGTTCTACTTTGCGGCTGAGAAACGTGGCCACTAAAGAAAGATAGAGGATACTTGTAATTTACTATTATTTGATGCCAGATGTCTTGAAATATTGCTTGCATCAGCTGGGATAACCGGATAAATAATAGTGAGGTTAGACGCAAGAGATTAAGGGATGATGATAAATCAGTTGATGAGGTTGTGAATCGTCATCGACTGACATGGTTGTGCTATGTATTACGTATTCCCGAACACTGACTACCACGACACACAATGCTAACTAGAGTTGGAGATAGTTGGAAGAAAGTTAGGGGCGGCCAAACAAAAACGTGGCATCAGTGCTTGAACTCACCAACTTCTAGTCTGAGCCATGTTGGTAGATGCAGACTACATGGTTGGGTCCGTGTGACTATCATAACCAATGATTGGAGACTGTGGTTGACGGCTCAAAATCGATTGCAATGACGTAGGTGTATACACTCTCTGTCTTCCATTGAATTGTGAGATTAAAATTGCTTTACATGTTTCTCTCTACGAACTAATTCTTTCTTCCTGTATTATACCCTTATATGCAATCTTTACTTTATATATTACTCATTGGGTTAACTGCTTCTATGAATCCGGTGTCCGCCTTGTTGTGCAAATGAGGTATGGGAACTTGAACAGATGTATATATGTACCTGATCCTATGTTGTAACTGACTGATTGATTGATTGATTGATCGATTGATTATGATATCATTATGATTATTGTTTTTGTTATTATTTCAATTGTTTTATATATATACTCAACTTTGATATACTTCTTTTCTTTTTTGTTTACTTTTCTGATTTTATTCTAGTTACGTTCTAGATTAAGTGAATTAAATACTGATTATTATTATCATCATGATAATATAATGAATAGTTGGAATTCATTAAATTCAATTGAAATCAATCATGGTACAATTGTGAATCGATTTGATCGATTACATAATAATACAATTGCTGTTATCCAATTATTATGTCAATTAGCAAGACGTTTAGCTATATTAGATGGACAATTATATTATTTAAATAAAAATAAATATCATGATAATGTTGTATTATTATGTAATAATAATAATAATAATGATAATCCATCATTATTACCATATAATCATATAACATCTGCTACATCATCAATGATATCAAATCAGTTCTTGAATGATTTCAATAATAATAATAGTAATACCAATCGGAATAGTAACTGTGAATTAGTAAGTTCAATAATAAGAAAACGTTGTATAGCATATATATGTGTGTATATTTAGTTTATTTATTATGCTCATCATTAATTTATTTGATTAACTTGAATTACTTACGAACTTACTTACTTACGCCTGTTACTTCCAATGGGACATAGGTCACCGACCAGCATTCTTTAACACACTCTGTCTTGGACCTTCCTTTCTTGTTCTAGTCAATTTCAATAGTTAAGATCATGAGTCAGTTGAAGCTAGACCACCATGGAAAACCTGGAAGCACTGGACGGCCGTTCTGTCTTATTGTGGGACTCCTCAGCAGTGCGCATACACGACCTCGCCCTTTTCGAGGTTCGAACCCAGGACCTACTGGTTTCGCACGCGAGCACTTAACCACTAGACCATTGAGCCGGCATCCAACAGTGTTATTGTCTAACTTCAACTAATTCAATTGTTGTTCATTCTTCATATATCTGTCTCCATTCCTCAGTGTAATGTGTTCTTTAGTCTTCCTCTTCTCTCTCTGGCATTTAAGATTTCAGGTGAGGGACTGCCTTGTGATGTGGTTGGATGCTTTCCTCAATGTGTGCATTTATACACACTTTCAATTTAACTCACTGATTAATTTGCATATATCATTACTTTCGATTAATGATAAGTATGTCAACATCTTACAGTAATCATTGTTAGTATGATTTATTGCAGTAGTACGTTTCAAAACTTAACATAATGATGTGGCTTCAAAAATGGAAATTTGTAATTCTTGCACATGAATAATCATTGAGTAGTGGACTATATCAGTCAGTCAGCTACAACGTAGGACCAGGTACATATATGCGGCGATCCATCTTGCCATACCTCATTAGCACAACAAGATGCACACCAAATTAATTGAAGTAGTTATATCAACAGTACCTCTAACAGTACTCGATTGGCTTATATAATGTTTATCCAGTCTTTTATTACTGATCAACTGCTATCAGTCAAGTTGCAAGGTGGTATGACATAAAGCTTGTCACATTGAGATGTTAGGTTGTTGGAGATAGTTGACAGTGAACCCTGTTTAACTTATTTTTATGCTGATTGACACTCATTGGCAAGGCTAACCTACAATCTTGAAAGAACTGGTGCTACTTATTGAGTTCGAATACGCGTTACCTAGCTAGACTATCTAGAACTTTACCACTGGATCATTTGTAGGACAATAAGACCAGTTCATTTACATCCACATGACATTAGTCACTATTCTGATGCCAGTCAATTGTTAGTCACTATCTGAATTGCTCAGTTATAACATTTCATACTTTGAAGCTACGTTGCTTAGGTTTCAATCCCATTGAGGGCAAAATTGTAAGTGCTCTTTGTTGATAAGTCTAACTTAGTATGAAAAACAATTAAGACAGGGTTTCGTCCTGACTACTAGTAGTCATCTAACCGCAATAAAACAGTAAATAAGTGATAGTTAATGTGAGTTAACAGCCCTTCACATAAATGTATTATTATTATTTAAACACATAAACATTGGTACAAGAAGGCACCAAGTAGATATGCGTCACATAAATCATCCGATTTGTGTGTGGGCTGTGATACTGCCCATATGCCCAGACAGAAGTAGGTGGTTATCTTAGGAGGCCACTCCCCGAGCCTTTGACCTAAAGGTCTAACCCACAAGGCAGTGGAGCATCGTGAGGAGATGTAGTCCCATGGTAGCAAGTGACCAACGTTTGGTTCATACGCCATTTTTTCCTTCGGGATACTGGATCCCATGTGTACCATTGGTTTGGAATCCGGTTAAAGCGCCAGACATTCGCTTTTCGTCTTCTCAGTTTAGTAAACAACAATAATGCTGCGAGAAGGTAGTGAGTAGGACTTCTTTGGTGGAGGCTGTATACGCTTGGCCGTGTAAGAGCATTTCGAGAGGGAGAACGGACTCACCCCACTCTCGGCCATACCAGGGCATTTGGGTGCAATTATGTCATATCAATTAATTAATCAATTTTTTAACTACTGAATTATTAAGTGCTTGTGATCACAGTTACTAATGCTGAAATATCATGTTAACAACATTGATAGGGTAAATTATTGAAATATCTCAAGTAAGGGTATAATTTAAATAGTCAGCATTTAATCAAATGCTTTGTATATAGTGATATAACACAAAAATGCAATCTAAATTAAGACAATCATAAATAATGAATTATTTCAAAGGAGAAAATAAACACGAAATTTAATTTTATTGTTACTGAATACTCAATCACTTGGTATTGTTCATTTGAATCTTCCGATTGATATTTAGGACTGCAATTGATCAGTCTTTTAATATTGGCATATGTGCTTACTGTGCATATTGCCTTGATATATTACCTTAATTCACAAACATTCTAAACAGAGATGGATAGTGGCTAGCAGTGGAATCCAAGACATGCGTTTCGTACTATTTAGGACTCGTCAATTGGATGTTCCTGTATCTTAGAGTTGATATTCACTCCGGGACTCTAACCCAATACCGTCCGCTTGAAACACCATCGCGTTATCTACTTAGCTACTGAGTCCTGAATTGAACATCTAAGATGTAACTATGGGATTAATACTTAATAAATAAATGCAACTTTTTAAATAAACTTACTTAATCTATATAAAATTCAAGCAAAACAAAAATGCTTCAAACACCATACTGAATTATATTTCTTTGTGTTATATCCCGATAAGTATGATGAATGGTAAATTTTGGGATCCATTTATGGACCAATACACACATATATTTTTATCGTATAATTGTTAAGCAACTAAACTATTCATATTCATATTTCTCTTATCATAAGCTTTATTTTGACCTGTGAACTATTATTATACCATTTACCATTCTTCAGTTATTCCCGGTCTATCAATTACTATCTCCCACATTCACAGCCGCATTTGGCTAAAGCTTGTACAAATGTTATTTTCTATTTTATGGTACGATGTGATCTGTGCGATTGGTATATAAACGCCAGTATGTTTGAAATAGATGATTCATATTGCAGAGGCTGAGATTGATGTTCTGGACTCAACTGGCTGAGCTAGGCAGGAAGCAGGACCAATAAGTATTCTTGACTGCTCGTACGGGTTTACGTGTCATTGGTTCGATCGATAATTGACTACTCTCTAATTGGCAGTATCATCACGCTGATAGGGCACAGGGCACACAGGCCACAAGTCATAACACTTTTCGAAAGAAAGAAGTATACTTCTGTCAAAATATATGCAATGAATTTCTTTTAGGGAAAGGGTACAAATGTTTCACATATTTATATGGATCCCGTTCAATGTATAGCCATTGCTTGATTGTAATTTCTTAATATTCAAAGTTTGAGAGTTGTAATAGCGATAAATCATATTAAAATTAAAGTGAACAATATCGTGTTCAAGTCCCAGAGTGAACATCAACTCTAAGATACATCCAAATGACAAATCTCAAATAGGACAAAATACGCTTTCTGCATTCCATTACTAACCACTATCCATCTTTACTTATAAATCATATGACTAAAGACAATATCGATGCAGTTCGCACAGGATCCATACATTACCAATAATAAGAGATTGATCAATTACAAACCTAAACATCAATAGTGAATATTTAATAAATCAATATAAAAATCAATTTTATTATGACTTCTTTTTATTATTATTTTTTTCTCTTCTATTTAGTCACAAATTATTGAACAACAAAAACGTTTAATTATACAAATTAAAGAAGCTCAATTATTACGAGCGGAATTAGAAACATGTCGACATCGTTTATTAGAAAGTATACCGGGTCATATAAAATGTGATTTAACACATAATATGATTGATAAATTAGGAAGAGATTTCATTAATGATAATAATAATAATAATAAGTCTACAACAAATACTACTAATCAAAATATTAGTAATCATAATACAACAGAATGTAAATTAACATCATATACAAATAGTGAATTGGATCAACAAAATCAAACAAATCATAATAATACTACTACTAATAACAATAGTAGTAATAATAATAAAGATGAAAAATCAATATCCAGTAAAATGAATGAACAAGAAGATCAATTAAATTGTCAACAATCGATTATGAATACAACACAATTACTTAGACAACGTGTTACTGAACATTTAATTGAATTTTTAAATTGGTTTGTATTATCACAAGTAAGTTATGTAATAAGAGTTGTGTTTTTATTAAATTTATATATACATATGATACAGTTGAGATAAATAAAATTGTTCAACCAGGTCTGTTGTGAGATATCAGCTCACTGAAGACAATCGTATACTGTGGCGCAACTCCCTTGATTGGTTGAAGTTAGACATTAACACCATCGGACTCCGGCTCAGTGGACTAGTTGGTTAAGCGCTTAGCGCGAGACTGATAGGTCCTGATATCGAATCTCGCGGGGTGCAAGATCGTCAATGCGCACTGCTGGGGAGTCCCATACTAAGACGAAACAGCCATTCAGTGCTTCCAGGTTTCCCATGGTGGTTTACCTTCAATTGACTCATGATTTCAATATGTGCAATTTCTAAAATCTCCACAAACCCCTTCTGATAATAAATAAAATTGTGTACAGATTTATCTTTTAATTTACCATTTAAAAAAACTGGGAGAGTGACAGGTATCTACCACAGTACAATGGAAGATGATCATGCAATTTCATAGATTAGTTGAAGTTAGATATTAATACCGTTGAATTTCAGCCGGTTCAGTGGTCTAGATGTTAAGTGTTGGCGCGCAAGACCGAAAACCTGTGAGAGAGATCGTGAATGAGCATTTCTGAGTTCTACAATAGGATGAAATGGTCGTCTAGTGCTTCTAGGTTTTCATTGGTTGTCGAGCTTCGATTGACTCATGATCTCAATGAGAAACTGTGTATGAATGTTTCCTTTAATTTTTAACTTAAAAAATAGTGATCGTTAGGTTTGTATTTATGAAATGACGAGTTGTGGAGATTGTAGTATTGTAACAGTTGAATCGATGAATCAATCGAAGCTAGATCATAATCGGAAACCTGGAACCAGTGGACGATAGTTTCGTCCTATTATGGGACTTCTCATCAGTACGCATTCGTGATCCCACAGCAAAGAGACTCGAACTAAGTACCCTCAGTCTTGCGAGAGAACATTTAATATCTAGATCACAGAGTCTGCATCCATTGGTAGTAGTCTCTAAGTTCAATCAATCCATGGTCTTGTGCAAACATTCATCCATTGTCTAAAGTAAATAACTATTTCACATTCAACATGAGTTGAACTCAACTAACCATGGCTTCTCATTAGATCTGCAGGAGTTACATCTTGAAACTAATCACTATTGAGTGCATGATTATTATCAGAATAGGGATTTGTGGAGATTATACTAAGTTTAACAGTTGACCAGTGAAACCTAATTCATGTTAGGTGTCAGAGAGTTATCCACCTCAGACAATGGATGAAGAGTTGCGCAAAATTATGGATTGATTGAAGTTAGAGGTTAACATTGATTGATTTCAACTCAGTGGTCTAGAAATTAAGCGTTCTCACTCGAGACCGAGGATCCTGTATTGCAGTCTCTTTGATGCGGAATCGTCGATGTACATTATTGAGGTGTCCAATACTAGAAGGAAAAGGCCTTAAAACAATGCTTCCAAATATTCATTTATGGTCTAGCTTAGACTGACTCATTAATTCAATTAATAATATTTATATATGTTAGTTGAGAATTAAACTGAAACTTACTGTAGTTTACATAAAGCTATCAACTATTAATGGTAGATAGAACTTAATCAGTATTTCATGTTTTAAGGATTCATTCAAACTGTCAGTTTCATTTAAGAATTACAATTATAACTGATATCATGTCAAAAATAGTGGAATAAATTCAACAATGATCTGAATGTTTTAAAAGATTTTTAAAATATTATGAAAACTAATAATGATGGACAGTGGCTCAAGTTAGACATCAACACCGTTGAATGCCGTCCGGATTAATGATCTAGGAGTTAAGCGAGGTAGGATCTTAGGTATGCACTGCTTATGAATCCCGTAATAAGACGAAACAACCATCCAATGCTTCCAAGTTTTCCATAGTAGTCTAGCTCTAATTGGCTCATGAATTCAATTATAAAATTACTGTAAATCTCCACAAAATCCCCCTTCTAAAGATAACAATGTGTTGAAAGGTTTAGGTAAATCGTTTACAATACTAATCGATGAATGTAACACATTCAACTAATAAAACAACTTGATCTAACAGAAGCTATGTATTTGTAATCATTAAAAACAGTAAAATGATGAAATAAACACAATTGTAATTTACATTGTCAATCTATTGTATTAATATGAAATGATATGTAAAATTTACTGAATAATCAATTCATATCGGTCAATTTATTATGTTGTATCACAAATCGATTAAGTATGTAATTATACCAAGGGGTATCGATTCAATAATTCTAATGGGTAATTATTCTCCATTAAACTTAAGGTTCTTGGATTTGAATTCTAACTTAATCATACTTGTACATTGTCAAAGACTTCAATATTGGGATGAAGTATATTTTTAGTGAGCTTTGATTTCCACTAGTATCCTAATTAAAGTTAATCTGTAAAGAACACAATATTAAAATAGTTATATTTAATAGATGTACTTTTCATTTATAAGAAATACTTTAAATTCACAGGATGTTGCACCATTAGTGAAGTATACTTTAGATTAAATAATATAAGATGTTAAAGAAAACACAGCTAAATTTCACTTTATAGTACTAATAATAATAATAATAATAATAATAATAATAATAATAATAATATTACTATTATTATTATCACTAATACTAGTACTAATACCATTAAAATAAATAAATCAATGAAAGTATGGTAATATATTGGTAATATATAAATATATATCATACTAACTGATACATTGTTAACAAAAAGTTAACAACTATCAAGGTTAAGAGGATTAACATGAAAAAATTTTAAAAAAACGCTAAAAAAGTTACTATGATGGCAAATAGACAATAAATTGAATAGCTCCTAACTAGCGGAATTATTGTCTTAGTTACAGTGGTACCAAGTGATAATATGAATTCATCATAAAATGGAATCGTAATTTATACTTGTAATTCAAATCATTTTGTAGTATTCCAGTTTCGCTTACTTACTTACTTACTTACTTACTTACTTACTTACTCTACTTACTTACTTACTTACTTACTTACTTACTTACTTACTTACTTACTTACTTACTTACTTACTTACTTACTCTACTTACTTACTTACTTACTTACTTACCTACCTACCTACTTACTTACTTACTTACTTACTTACTTACCTACTTACTTACTTACTTACTTACTTACTTACTTACTTATTTACTTACTTACTTACTTACTTACTTACTTACTTACTTACTTACTTACTTACTTACTTACTTACTTACTTACTTACTTACTTACTTACTTACTTACTTACTTACTTACTTACTTACTTACTTACTTACTTACTTACTTACTTACTTACTTACTTACTTACTTACTTACTTACTTACTTACTTACTTACTTACTTACTTACTTACTTACTTACTTACTTACTTACTTACTTACTTACTTACTTACTTACTTACTTACTTACTTACTTACTTACTTACTTACTTACTTACTTACTTACTTACTTACTTACTTACTTACTTACTTACTTACTTACTTACTTACTTACTTACTTACTTACTTACTTACTTACTTACTTACTTACTTACTCTACTTACTTACTTACTTACTTACTTACTTACTTACTTACTTACTTACTTACTTACTTACTTACTTACTCTACTTACTTACTTACTTACTTACTTACCTACCTACCTACTTACTTACTTACTTACTTACTTACTTACCTACTTACTTACTTACTTACTTACTTACTTACTTATTTACTTACTTACTTACTTACTTACTTACTTACTTACTTACTTACTTACTTACTTACTTACTTACTTACTTACTTACTTACTTACTTACTTACTTACTTACTTACTTACTTACTTACTTACTTACTTACTTACTTACTTACTTACTTACTTACTTACTTACTTACTTACTTACTTACTTACTTACTTACTTACTTACTTACTTACTTACTTACTTACTTACTTACTTACTTACTTACTTACTTACTTACTTACTTACTTACTTACTTACTTACTTACTTACTTACTTACTTACTTACTTACTTACTTACTTACTTACTTACTTACTTACTTACTTACTTACTTACTTACTTACTTACTTACTTACTTACTTACTTACTTACTTACTTACTTACTTACTTACTTACTTACTTACTTACTTACTTACTTACTTACTTACTTACTTACTTACTTACTTACTTACTTACTTACTTACTTACTTACTTACTTACTTACTTACTTACTTACTTACTTACTTACTTACTTACTTACTTACTTACTTACTCACTCACTCACTCACTCACTCACTCACTCACTTACTTACTTACTTACTTATATATGATACTTGGTTAGTACCAGAATTCAAGAGGCATATTTCTTTCTCCTTACTAATCGGTTGGACGGATTTAAATCCGTGTTGATGTTCACATTGAGACTCGAACTCGATACTTATTGTCTAAAAGATTAAACTAATATCGATTGAGCTACTGAGTTTACATAATAACTAGATTGTTCAACAGGTATAAAGATATTAGTATGGTATTGTAGTCTTTCATTATTGATATTTAGAAGTTGAAGAATTGTAGTCTTGACTATCAACAACGAGAAATTAAAAATGCCTAACAAAAATAAATTCTATCGTCAATCAGTCAGCTGCGACGTAAGACCAATCACATATGTGTATCAGTTCAAGTTGTCACACCTCATTAGCACAGCAAAATGAACACCAAATTCATAGAAGTAGTTACTTCAATGACAGTTATACATAAAAATAAGATTGTGCATTGGGATATAATACAGGAAGGAGGAATTAGTTCAAAGAAAGAAATATATCAGGCGATTTTAATCTCATAGTTTAAGCAAAGATAGAGAGTGTATACACATACACCATTGTATTCGATTCTGAGCCATGTCATCCACAGACTCCAACCATTGGTTACGATAGTCACGTAGAGCCCGACCAAGTAGTCTGCATCTACCAACATGGATCACACCAGAAGTTAGTGACTTTATGGATTGATGCCACGTTTTTGTTTGGTTGCCCCTAATTTTCTTCCAACTATCACCAACACTAGTTAGCATTGCGTGTTGTCGTAATCGGTGTTCAGACATACGTAATACGTAGCACAATCATCTCAGATGATGAAGATTTACAACTTCATCAACTGATGAATTAATTCTATAGAATAAACAACTTTTTAAAAGTTAAAGTGAAGAATGTGTATCAACTCTCTGACCAAAGAATTTGATAAAATACAAGATCTGTATACTTAAATGAACCAATTTTAATGATCCAATAAAATCTATATAATCAATAAATATCTTCCGACACTGATAAATATTTAGTTGAGATCTATGGAGTTAGTATGAAATCAGACATTGTGGTGTTGTAAAGAAATACCCGGATGGGATAACCCTAAAATTCTTTGAAATCTTACATATTTGAACATTCAAATCCTATTTCTTTTATCAAAAAATAGTTTGTTCTGTCTTTTAACCTACCCCTTTCATGTTACGGCCAACTTTATTTATAAATTCACATGTACCTGCTAAAGCAGCTACATAGGCCAAACAGAAAGGAGGGCATATCTTAGATTTTTTTAACATGTTTCAAAAAGTATCAGAACAAGAGAAGGAAAGATTTTAAACAACGCAATCACCAAACATCTCCTTGATACAGAACATCACGTAGATACCTTGCAATCCTTCAAGGTGATTAATAAGCAGTCAAACTCCAGTCTTCTGAAGCCTTTACCAACAGGCGTCAAAAACCTGATCTATATGCTCAAAAAGAGACGGTTATTAATCTTTCCTTGCCTTGTTGACAAATATACCTTCGCTGTATCTTAAATTTCTTTTTCTTTAAACTCTTCCTCGCATTTATTACATCATTGGGTTTTGTTTCAACTATCTTCCAGATCATTAATCTTGTTTTGTCAACTGAGCTCTACTCACTATATTCCTGTCAATGTTTACTCATTATGTAATCACTTATTTCTGGCTGTTTGAACTGTTGTCACAATCAATGTTGTAGAATGTTCTTTCACATAAGGTACAATATTCAGTCTATTAATTTTATTTACACCCTTACTATACTTTACTAGTGTCTTTAATATAACTTCCAACCAAACCCTTTCATCTAAGTAATTTAAACCCATTATGTAATGATGAGTTTTTTAAATATCACAGATTGTAAGCAGCTGATGAGAACCAAATGAAATAAAAATGAATTCTAGCTATTCGGTTAAAATCTTTGTTCATACTCTTTTCAAAACAATAAAGGGAACCAGGTGTATGAAACTATCGTGGTTATATTGAATTCATATTCTAAATAGTTTGATTCATGTTTTACATATCTTTTAATCTGTCTGAGTTCATCTACTTAATAATATAAATGTCTTAACAAGTAAATGTAGTATCAGTTTATGATAATGAAACGTACTGTGTCAATATCTATTACATATGGCTGATAAACTTCATTTTCTTATTGCATTACCTAAATTTTTCAAAGAGACATAGTGTTTCAATAAAAGATTAACTTATATAATAGAAGGAGGGTTTTCTAGGTAGTATAGTAAATTCAATAGTTGAGATCACGAGTTAATTTAAGTTAGACTGATAGGTCCTGAGTTCGAATCTCGTGTGGCGGGGTCTTGAATGCGCACTGCTATGAAGTCCCACAATTGGACGAAACGGTCATCCAGTGCTTTCAGGTCTTCTATCATTGTCTAACTTCAATTGACTCACGATCTCAACTATTGAAATTATATAATACAAATTGTATGAGTTTTTATACTTCCTATAGAAAGTATGAATAGCTTCCTATAACATGTACATCATAATATATTTTTTTACATATTAATGATTTTATTAAAGTTCATTCCAAATACAAACTAGAATTATCCTTATCATTAATAAGCGTTTAAATCCATCCCATTGTACATATTCAGTAATGAATATGGATTACTTTGAGATAAAGATATATCCAGATGAGGTTGGAATGTAATTCCTAGATTTCACTGTACGCTACAATTCATTTATTATGAAAATCGATATTGAATTGTGTTTTTCTTATCATTATCAACATTATTTTCATAGATTTCACCTGATATCAGTTATCAAAGCTACTTATTAAATCTCCTCAATCTCAATTGTATATGTTAAAGGGTTTAGTTAAGATTTTCATATAATTTGACGATAGTGATTACAGTCAGCTCAAAAAGTATATTAAAAATAACGAAACACCGGAATTATATTTTTTTTGTATGTCACTGATAGGCTATTCTTCAACAATGTTGTTTATTTATTTGAACGTATAGACATTGTTATAAAGGGGTACCAAATACATATGCCCCACACAAGTCACTTGATTTGTGTGTGTGTGGGCTGTGGTATTGCCCGGGTGTCCAGACTAAAATAGGTCGTTTTCATAGTGGGCCACACCCCAAACATTCGACCTAAAGATCTGATCCACAAGGCAGTGGAGTAACACCGAGTGATGCAGTTCTATGGTAGTCGGTAACCCACAATAGGTCGCTCAGGATCATGGAGTCCGTGTGTACCATTGGCTTTGAATCGGGGTTTTCCAACTCACTTAGGTGAACCCTTCGTATCCAGCAACATGTTTAAAGCACCGGACATTAGATTTTCGTCCTCTCAATCTTGTAAACAACATCCCCACCTCCAGAAGGAAGTGGCTGTGTAAACACAGCCATGTGAGAACACTTCAAGCGACAGGGTGAAATCCCCCACCCTTGACCGTCTCAGGGCATTTAGCAACTGACTTCATCTCAATTCGAATAGCTTTACATGTAATTGTAATAACAGTTCAATACATGTTAACCTATTTATTTTTCTTTTAAAATTTCTCTTTTTTTAGATATTTGAAACAGAAATCAAAGTAGATCAAGATTTATGGGAAAGTATTCAAGATGAATTAAGATTTGAATTATCCTATTAAATCTATTCAATTATTCATTATTTAATACTTACACATTATTTGTGAAGTGTTTTTTTGTTGTTGTTGTTGTTGTTTTAATTTATGATTAAATATGTACAAAAAAGAAGAGAAAAAGAAAATCACAACGAGAATCTTTCAAAGAAAAAAAAATAGAAATAGGGATTCAAAAAAATCAAAACAATCACCACCACCACTACAACAACAACAACATTCATGGTGATACATAAAAAATCGATTATTATTTTTTTTGGTTTTAACAAATCATATTCAATATTATTATTTAAAAGATGACATAATAATTTTATTGTTGTATTTAAATTCTTCTTTTTTCAAATCATTTTTCCCGCCTCTTTTTTTTTAAATTTTTATTTGTATTTTATAAATAATTCAATGACTAATTTATGTAATTTGATTGTGACTCGTTTTTATTCTCAACCATAATATTAACATCATTGATAATTGTTAACAATATAAATGTGTATATTCATTTTATAGATAGATATTATATGAGGATTTGTTTTGTCGTCATAATGAACTCCGTTCCCCTGATACAAGCATATTTGTCTATATAGACAAACTTACTTAGTTACTTACTTACACACACACATATATATATACATACATACGCACATACATACACATGTACACCTAATATATCATTCATTATATTTAGATATTATCAAATATATAAATATACTTATTCTGTGAATTAATACTTTCCTTTTTAGTGTATCTTTGATAATATTGTTTTGTTTGTATGTTTGTTTTTGAATTAAAATAATGTTGAAACTGGGTTTTCATCATAAGATGTCGTTAGTCTTCTAAATGAAGATCTTCTAACTTCCAGGATAGAGTTTAAATTATTTTTTCTGGTTAATGTCTTTATAAAAAGTTAGTTTTCTACGGGATAGGGTCATTAATCCTATACTTAACCCTCCTGTTTTATCTGGGCTTGAAATTGGTAGTAGCGTCAAAGGAGCTCCAGACGGAGTTAAAAGCAAGCTGATTTGCACGATAATTTTAAGTGAATGTATAGTCATTATATATATATATGATAAATTTCGATAATGTAATAAGAAGACGAAGCTTATCAGAACTATATGGCGATATATTAGCGCAATACATTTTAAACAATCTAATCACAAGGTCAGCTAGACTGGAAATGGGGGTATGAGGAGACAAGGATAATACTAAGAGTAATAATAATAATATGAACACAATTTGAAACCAAATCCTTCTTGAAAATAAGCCAATATTACCAGGATAGGTTTAAGGTGAGAACAAACTGTTTTTGAATACACAAAGGGGGTTTGAATTTTCGTATGGCTAATTGGAAATCAGATAAAATTGGATAACTGTTATGATTCTAGCATGAGATTTTTAATAAATTATGTCGGGAAATAGCAGATATGAAAACGATGAATATCAACTGGAAACAGCTGGAAAGGATTGCCTAGGACAGGGTTGGATGGAGAATGCTGGTAGGCGGCCTATGCTCCTCCAAGAGCAGTAACAAGCGTAAGTAAGTAAGTAAGTACCAATGTGTGGTTCTGCCACGGATTGAACCTAAATGTTTCATAACTTGTGATGAGAGTTTTTTGTTGCATTCACCTTTATATTAGTCTACAAAATATACCAGGAAAGAATAAAAATACAATGTGAAAGTAAATTTTCATTATAAACTGACAAAAGTTAGAGCCTTGGATTCAAAATCATGGATGCGCATTGTTGAGAAGTTCCATGCAAAGATAAGAAAACCATCCAATGCTTTCAGGTTATTAATGGTGGTTTAGCTCAGATCGACTCATGAATTCACTTATTAAAAAAAAGAGAAAAACTTTTGAATTAGAAAGAAATGAGCAAATTACATTCAAATTGAAAGTTTTCATGAAAATACAAGTTTGTACATACAAACATCAAGTTTGTTAGTAAGCTTGATTTATCTAAGCCATAAAATTGAAATCTTATGATTTACAAGCAAAGATGGATAGTGGCTAGCAGTGGAATCCAGGATGCGCATTTCGTCCTATGGGAAGATACAAACAAAGCAATACCAAGTGAATTTAAATTCACCCGATTTCACAAGCAAGTAGCTATCAGGACTCAGTAGCTGAGTAGATAATACGATGGCGTTTGAAGTGAACGGTACTGGGTTCGAGTCCCAAAGTGAACATCAACTCATGCAGATCAATCCATCTGACGAGTGCCGAATAGGACGAAACGCGCGTCAAACTGCATTCCACTGCTAGCCACTATCCATCATTGCTTACAAATAGCTTGTGAATTAAGGTAATATCGAGGCATACGCACAGTATGCACATATGCCAATAACACGCTGATCAATTGCAGTGTTAAACCTCAATGAGAAGATACAAATCGAATAATACCAAGTGAATCTTATAATTTACATTTATTCAACTACTGTCAATTTAATAGTAGTATCAATGAAGTTGTACAAACAATAAGTAATCCAGTTCATTATCCATGAAGATTTCTTATTGAACAGTTAAACAGTTCCCTGCTTTTTTTTAAAAGAATTAACTTGCTAGCAAGTTCAGACGTTTCGTTAAAACGAACCAAATGAACTATGGAATATCATACAGACTTGTAATAATTGTATAGATCCTTTGAGAGAATTATAAACTTATACATATTGTGATATTGATAAGTCCAGTGCTTCCAGGTTTTCCATGATGGTCTAGCTTCAATTGACTCACGATCTCAACTAGTGAAATTACTACAATCTCCACAAAACCCCTCCTGATACTAATCAATATATGCTCACTAGTGAGTAGCTTCAAGAGTTATTTCCTAGAGTTCTAGTGAGAAGGCATGACCAATGGAGTTCAACCGGGTCTGTTGTGAAATAGTAACTCACTTATGACAATCGTGAACGGTAACACAATTTCGTGGTTTGGTTGAAGTTAGAGATTAACACCGTTGGATGCCGGCCGGCTCAGTAGTCTAGAGGTTTAGAGCTCACGTGCAAAACCGGTAGATCCTAGGTTCAAATCACGCGATGCGGGATCGTGGATGCACACCACTGAGGAGTCCCACAATAGGAGGAAACAGCCGTCGTGTTTCTAAGCTTCCCATGGTGGTCTAGCTTCAGTTGACTCATTAATTCAACTATTCAAATTACTATAATATCCACAAAATCCCCTTCTGATATGTAAAACATTAACAACAGTTCGGTGAATCAGAAATGTTATATGCGAACGAAGAATAAATGGATGGTAACTGCTGGGAATTATTTCTGGACTATTATTACATATATTCTTATTGGATATTTATTAAGTAACTAGATTATATATGTATATTCATATTACTTATATCATTAGCTTTCATTTGACTTATTGGCTACGGTTATACGATTTACCATCCTTAATTTATATCCAATTTATTTGCTACGGTCTCACACTCTATTATGTCCCGATTTGCATAATGAATGGTAACTTTTGGGATCCATTTGTGGACCAATACTATACGCATATTTTTGTTTTATAATTGTTATATAACTAAACTATTTATATTCATGCCCCTCTTATTATGAGCTTTATTTTGACTTATGAACTATTATTATAAGATTTTCCATTCTTGAATTATGCCCTGTCTATTAATTACTACCTCCCTCATTCACAGCCACATTTGACCAAATCTTGTATAAATGTTGTTTCCTATTTTATGGTACGTTGTGGTCTTTCTGGTTGGTATGTTTGGAATAAATTATTCATATTGCAGAGGATGAGATTGGTGTTCTGGACTATAACAGGTAGGGCTGGGCATGAAATAGGACTGACGAACACTCTAGACTGCTCATCCATGCTTTACGCGTCATTGGTCCGATCGATAAATCAATGTTCTCTAATTGGCGGACTCATTACGTTAAACATTGATAGGGCACACAGGCTACAAGTTATAACACATACCCACTTTTGGCTTGATCTTGTGTAATAATTAATTTTTTTCATTTTATGGTGTAATGCCGTCTGATTTTCCTGTAAAGAAACTACGTACGTAGGAAATATACGATCCATGTAGTGGAGGTTAATATTTGTGTTCTGGACTGAACGGGCTGGATTAGGTGATAAATCGCTATACAGAGGACCAGTTAGGACCCAGAGTTGATGTAAGTCTGCTAGTGTTGGTTAAAGCATCATTGATTTAGCACAAGGACATGTTCACATAAGGCGGTGTTTTGATTGGTGATCTTATCACCTAATATATGACAGAGTCATAAGACATAACAAGAAACAAACGTCTTACAATTTTTTCATAATAGTTGTAAAAACGTTTTCTACTGTAAAGTTCAACCTACCTTATAGCTTTTTTCCTTGCTTTATCAACATAAAAGATATCCAATATATGAAACGATCTATTAACAGTTTTAGACTTATCATACATAGTTAAGATAACAGCTACAAAATTTCATATTACATAATAAATTTCATTGATTTCAATTTTTTCCATTTTGGACGTTTACTCACTAACCGTGAAAATCTAAAATTCGCTTCCAATAGCTCCATAAAAATCATACACAAAGAAAAAAAACTGTTCAACAGTACTCATTATTTATTTGAACACAGATATTGGTACAAGGGGGGGCACCAAATACACATGCGCCACACAAATCTCATACCATTTGTTCGAGAGCTGGGATAGTGCCCGGGTTCCCAAACTGAAGCAGGTGGTTTTCTTAGGGAGCCTGTAGTGTCGGTTATTATGTTAGGCCCATAAACCTTATTCTAGCTTTCGGACAGCTCATTCTATTCATTCTACTTTAGTCACATTCTGACCTTGTTATTTATTCGCTTATCAATCTTGACTGTTCTTATATGAGCGCGTAGGTGTGTGCACACTTCTTATCCCATTACTCATCACATGTCTGTAACTTACTTTTGTGTGCCTATAAATATTGATTAACGCTTGGTTAAAGGGGAGTTGGTTTACCAGCCATCTCCACTGTGTGTCGTTTCTCTTCTCTTTATTCCATTCGTTTTATATACAAAATATATGTATTCACAAGTCTATTCTCGTTATTCGACTTATTTAATTCCGTTGTTGACTAACGTGATTTGAGTCGATGATTGTATACGAGGATAGATGATGACAAACATTCATATGATATAATTGGAGTCAGATCATTGGCCACTAAAGTAGAGAACCCTTTTGACAACATCGTTCGATCTAAATGGCGATTAAATAACGGGCCTCCACAGGTCACACGCGGAGCCTTCGACCCAAAGGTCTGATCCACAAGGCAGCAGAGCATCGTAGGGAGAAGCATTCACATGGTAACCAGTGACCAATAATTGATTCATACGCCATTTGTTCCCTCAGGATACTGGAGCCCATGTGCACCATTGGTTTGGAATGAGGGTTTTCCAACTCCCCTAGGTGGACTCTCCATGTCCATCAACTCTGTTAAAGCGCCGGACATTCGTTTTTCGTCCTCTCAATTTCGTAATCAAAACACCCCCACCACGAGAAGGCAGTGAGTAGGACTTCCCTGGCAGAGGCTATATACACGTGGCCGTGTGAGAGCATTTGGAGAGAGATAGCGGATTCTCTCCACTCTCGGCCGTACCAGGGTATTTGGGTGCTTAACAGTACTTAACTACAGTCAATTTGATCAAGTGATTTGACAGGGTACTAAACATTTTGAGTACTACACAAATCCTGTCCCCCACATTAAAATACATAAAAACTAGTC